TAAGATTTATGACCATACACAATTCATTATAAATTCTCATCTGTGGAAATATTACTGCAATGAGAAAGTACCTCTGTTTCACTATCAGGAATTGGGACAACAAAACAATTTTATCTGAACTTATTCTGGTACAGAAAGAGTTTGGCAAGAACCAGATTGAGCACCTGACAGAACAATACTTCCACTATTTTAATATCACAGCTAGACGCTATGTCATTAGAGTAATATAAACAAGTTCCACCTGAACACAATTTATTTCCTAGAGACTTTCCTCCTCCTCCCCATATGTCTTTCCAGCAAATTCATCCTCATCCATTATCCAGCCGTGTTTCACCCGTTCAATGAAAACACAGATGAGGTCCAACAGGTTTCGAACAGGGGGCGCCCTGCTCCCAGCCCTAGCACTGAAAGCCCTGCCTGGTACCACCACCCCTTGGCCTCGGGGGCAACCTGCCGCCCTCAACACCTACCACCCCTCAGCCCCTCTGCACACAACGTTCCCGCACGTTGGCCACCAAGGCACCGACATCCAATCACACAGGGTGACAAAGCAGACGGCGACCCCTCACCTGCTGCCGTGGACCTGGGGAACTGTGCCCGCCCCAGCGGTAGCCACCAAGCTCAGGCCAGGGCACCTGCAGGGAGGCCACGGGCTCTGGAAAGGGCAGGAAGTGGGTGCAGGTGCTGGTGGTGGGCTGGAAAGCTGTCTCCATCTCACCCTTCATACAATCCCGCAATCACAGAGCTCACCGCACTGCCTCAAGCAATACGGTAAGAAAAAATGTGCGTTTTCACTCCCAGCCCATGGAAGCAAGAGGGAAGCACCCGGTAGCGAGCTGGGAGTCGGGGACTGCCTCTGGTGGGGCTAAGGAGGGTCCGCGAGCTTCTCCCAGAGGAGAAGCCAGAGGTAACGGGGAGCACGGGGAGAGCGGGGCACCTCCCGAGAAGGCTGAAGGGCACATGCTGACATCGAAAGGTGCTGGCCGGGCCACCACGGGGCTTCTCAAAGACAAAGGGTACGCGGCTGGGGGAGCTGCTGGGCAGCTCTGCCCCGGGATGCCGATGAGGCCCCTAGGAGACCTGCAACCCGGGGTGGGAGGGGGACCCCGCAGCCCCTCTACGGCCATGAAGGGGCTAGGGGCACCCTGGAGCCCCGCGGCGGCCGCGCAAGTGAGGGACGGTCTCGCTCCGCAGCCCGCGGAGGATGCGCGGCGCTGGTCGCCGAGGTATTTCCTTCCGCGCCGTGCGGGCGGTGGGCACCAGCTCCCTCCCCGCTTTCCCACCTCCCGTCCGCAGCCCGGCACCAGCCCCGGCCCTGTCCTCCGCAACGGCAGCTTACACGGCGACCCCGTCAGATCCGACCGATCTAACGAGTAATCGTTGGTTATTCAGAGTTCAATTTTCAAATTGTGCGGAAGCATGGATTAATATTAACATATTCACCCGCGGCTGGACGCCGCGGTTCTCCATCCAAAAGTAACGCGGTTTTTTTTGGATGGCCGCCTGCTAAGTAACGCGATTTAATAAACTGCAATTTCTCTCTCTCGAAATAAGTCAAATCTCCCCCTGAAGACCCCCAGAGAATTGCTCCTGAAACAGCTCACTCCCCGCTTTTACAAAGTACCCCCAGAACCCCAACAAGGCATCTGAGCAAAACACCATTTGAGCAAAAACATTGGCGAACACCAATTCCTCCTCTCGCTCTCTCGCACCTTCCCCCAGGATGCGAAGCGACTCGGGGTGAGGCGAAGTCAGCGCCTGGGTTTCCGAGCGGGAAGCGACGGAGGGCCACTGAGCCCTGCGGAGCTCCGCACGCCGGCACTGTAGGGCGAGCCCTGCCACGCGTGCGAGCTCCGCACCCAGGGCGGGCAGCGACAATAAAAATAACCATACCAACACCACCAAACAGCAACAGATATGTAAGAAATAAGGGGTGAGCAACGAAGCTGAAAGTTTTCCAGGGTAAGAGCGGACCGTGGGAGCTGCCGCGCGGAAGGAGCGGGGTGCATCCCCTTGAGCCGCGGCTCGGCTGGCAGAGAGGACCGTCCCGCAGCCCCGGGACGCGCACCCGGGCGGCGACAAGCCGACGGACGGACAAACAGACAGAGGGACATACCGGCAGTCAGGCACACGGGCAGGAGCAGCCGGAAGGTGAGCCCGCACACCACCTCGGTGGCCATCGCGGCGGCGTGGGGGTCGCGGCCAGCCGGCCGGAGAGCCGTCCCTCTCTGCGCGCCACCGCCGCTCCTATGTCCGCCCGTGCGCGGAGCCGCCGCGACGGCGGAGCATCGCCCGTCCCCTCTTCTCTTCGCCTCGCCTCAGCCGCGCCGCCTCACGCCTCCCGCCGCATCCCGGCGGCAGCCCATGCAACCAGCGCCGTGCCGCACCCCCGGCCAGGGGCACACACACGCCCACCCCCTCGGGGCTCCCCCCACTGCAGTTTTCCTGCCCTCTTCCCGTCCGCTGAACCGCGCGGAGCGCCCCCCCCCCCCCCGGCCTGCCCTCTGCACCGACGGCGCGGGACCAGCCGGCGGCACCCCACGGCGCGCCCCGTGAGGAAACTGCCCCGCGCCCCGCCCCGACAGGGCCGGACCGCTCAGTGAAGGGGCCGGCCGTGCGCCGCCTGCCCATGCCTATGCCCTGCCCCTACCGCTAGCCCGGTCTCTGCCGTGCCCTTACTCCTGCCCGCGCCCACGTGCCTACCTTCTGCCCATGTCCCTACCTTCTGCCCATGTCCCTACTCCTGCCTCTGCCCCTGCTCCTGACCCCACCCTGCCCTCTGCCGTGCCCTTACTCCTGCCCTGTCCCAAAGTCCTGCCCCTTGCGCTCGCCGCTGCCTGCTCGTCCCGTCCGCGTCGCAGGGACTGTTCTGTCACCGCGCTGCCACCCCCAGCTGGCTCCTGTTCGCCACTTAAAACCTTACCGGTTTTCCTTAACGTTTCTTTTTGAGTTGGTTTGGTTTTGTGTGTGGTTTATTTGTCTCGGCTTTGTTGTTTGGGTTTTTTTTTTTTTTTACAAGAATATTTTTCATTATTATGATAATGGTTTTTATAATAATGTTATTAGTATTCACTAAAAACTTCTGATTTATACTTTTTTTTTCTTGAGTGGGGGAGCAGTTTTCTCCAGTTTTTTCAACCCCCCCCCTCCCCCTCCCCCATGTTTCAGCAGGGCATTTAGGTCCACAAGAAAAAAAATAGATCTGCGGTTGCTGGAATGTATCTCACTTTTCTGGAAAGCTTTGTACCCTTTAAAATACGGTGCGGGTTAGAACATGCGGCGGGTTGAAAAGGGCCTTTTCAAGGCTCAGCTGGTGTGTCCCTGTGTGTGTGCTGAATAAACCTAATAGCCTGGGTTGAAATAGTAATGCTGTAAAATAGAAAGTTATTAATGTTATTAATTCAAGTAAAAGCCCATTTAATCTTCAGGACTGTACTGCAAGCCCTCCCACTTAACTGAGGTGAGCTCAGACGGAATGTCCTCTTTGTGGGGCAGTGCTGGAGATAACTCTTCAGTCTCCTGCAAGATTTGGAGTAGGAAAAAACAGGAGCAGTGACCCTGTGGTGCTCAGCATAAATTGCCGGAGCTTCTTCCCAGCAAAGGACCTCATCCAGTCTTCCTTCAATATAGGAAGTCTTAGATTTGCTCTTGAAGTCCTGGCTTTTTGACTCCTTGTAATTACATAAGCATCTTTTGCTGTTGCATGCTTTTTAGAATACATACTTTCATACCGTTGTTGCAGAGAAAACTCTTGGCAAACATGGGTTTGACCCACAAAAGGGTCTTTTGAAGAAAAAATAAGGTTTTTTTTGTTTTGAGGGTTCAAATGATAGGTGTTGAGCCATGTGGACATCTGATTTTTATTTTATGAATAATGGCAATTATTCAGATACAGTACAACAGGCAAACTGATTTGTATATTTGGAGAGTGAAGAACTCCAGAGTTACAGATATAAAAATGCTCAAGGAAGCTAAGAAAAATCTAATTCAGTGTACCAAACGAGTCCCATTATGAGGACGCAGATCACAAAGGACCTGTATCACAAAAAAACTGAGCCTTTGCTGAAGAGGTATGGTCATTTCACACCCATACACGAGCGTGTGCGTAGAAGTTAAGTATCACATCTTCCAGTGTTACAGAGGAGTGTAACAAAGCCCTGTCCCAGTAGGATGAATGCGACACTTCAACTCGACTGCGGGGAGCAGCTTGAGGAGATTGCTCCCTCACTTCCCACATTTGGGCCCAGCACAGCTCTCCCGGCTGTCTCGGCAATGAACCAAGACTGCAGATTTGTTTCTCAGTGTTCTAGTGTGGATTTCTGTACACATGGATCTCTGTGTATATGCCTAGTGATAATGTCTGTACACAGTAAAATACCAGGATCGAGTAGGACTTCATCTGCTAGTGATCAGCCCATGGCAAAGTAACTGCAGCATTGTTTTATGACCACAGGGTCTATTTCCAAAACTCAGAGTTCCTGAGGAAGCTCTCCTTGCCTTAGAGGCTCCAAAGCAAGCAGTTAATGGGATAGTCTGTATGTGTAGGATACATGCACAGCTGAAATATTCTGTGCACTTTGGCAGCACATGTTCAGCTATTGATCAGGATTTTTTTTTTCTGTTCAGTCATCCAGATTCACTGACACGTGGATAAAGTATTTATTACTTTAATAGTACCGTTACCAAATACTTTGCTTCCTGAAACACTGATTTTAGTCTAATAGTTGGGAAATAATTAGCCAATTTTCAATACTTAGCATTCACAAGGTTTGAAAAGCAGACTTAAAATCCGTGTATTGAGTGGTTCCTTACCTTCTGCCAGACTCTTCATCTACTGCAAAATCTGTGCGGCCGCAGTGCCACCTTTTGGCTAAAACGTCTGCTAAATGACATTTCTTCCTCACAGCTGCTGGCAGTTAACTGTTTGTAGACATAATTTTGAGATCCAGCCACACCTCTGTAGTGGTAAGAAGTATAAAAAAGAGATGTGAAGCCTTAACCAAGAATCATGTACGGTGCCTGGAGCTCAGCTGTTGACAGGAACAGTAAGTGCATTAACCTGAAAATTGGAGCAGGGCTTTTAGCCAGCACGAAAACAAAACATAGGGCTCTGACTAAAATAGGTAAAACAGAAAGAGAAACTGGATTAATGGGAAAAGTGTCTCTTGAATTAAGTGTGCGTAATAGAGAACAATGTCTAGAGGAGAGCTAGGAGTTTATTTAGCTGACACCGGTTTTGCAAGAGACATAAAAAGCAGTTTAAAGCAGGAGGGCTGCTTCTTCCCTAAGGGCATGCAACCCAGTGTAATCACACTGTGGCCCACACGGTTTTTCTCTTTCTCTCTGCAAACCAGAGGAAATTGCCAGGCTGTGTGAGTCCTACAGAATACAGTAAATGTGCCAACAGTGGACACAGCAATCTCAACACCAACCAGCATTTCTTTCCCTTCTTTTCAACTACCAGGATCTCAGACTCTCCATTACCAGGTGTGTAACACCACCTCAGGTGAAAACATTTTAGCAGCGGGGAGGCTGAAGAAGCCTTAATGAAGAGAGGGAAGAAGAGCTTACTTAGATTCACAAAAGAACAAACTTCAGTTGTGAAGAGATTTCCTCCACCTTACCTGGTCACCTTTCCTGTAGCAATAACTTGGGGCAATTTTGGAGAAACGTTGCCCCTGCTTCATCCAACATGCAAAATCAATTGCAGTTAATAGAGTTCAGAGGCCAAGAGAGTTACTGGGGGGGGGGAAAAGTCCAGAATATATTGTGTCACAGATTCTATTAGGTAGAACAAAATCAACTGGAACTGCTGATTGCAATTGTGTTGAGCTGACAGACTGTCTAAAATAGCACTGTTCAGAAACATCTTCTAAGTGCCTCAGGTATCTGATTTGTTTGGCTGTTTGAACCATGAATTCATGCCATTGTTCTAGCATCCACAGGCTTGGATTAGCATACAAAAGGGCTTGTGTACGGATAAAGATATATATATATGTGTATATATATATATATGCATATATACAGGCTGATACAGTCCACACAGTTATGGTGAGCTCCATTAATGACTGCTAAACTAGCTGAAGAAATAAAACTGCATTAACTCCCATTGGGAAGCAGGAGAAGTTACTGAAGCCTTTTCAGGGGAATCACGGCTGTACAGAGCTGGTTTATATTTGCTATTCTTACAACACAAGAGTCCTGCTTTGGGGACCTAGGGGGAAGGAAATGGCTTTAACATTTACAGTGATGGTTAACTAGTGTATTACGTCTCTTGATCCGTGCTCCGTAAGACTACATGAAAGTATCCTGCTCCTCTTACCTATTCTGGAAGTTCTCCTCCTGCTCAGCCCTGTCAGCAGCTGGGGGAACAGCCTGCAGTGGCCCACCAGGAGTCAAGCAATTCCATTTTTCAGCTTAGTTCACATTCAGCTCTGACTGAAGCTGTTATTGTTCACTTCCAGCATGAAGTCAGCTAAGCTTCAAAATAACATTCAAGTTCAGTTCTGGTTCAAGAAAAGTTAAAAAAAGCAGTTCAAACTGATTTTTGGTTCAGAGTCAGTTTAAGTCCCCAGAACAGCAGTAGTTAGTAACTATTTTATCCACTTAAATTATGAGCTTGTCTTGCCTTACAATAAGGAAATTCATTCCACTTAAATGTATGCTGAGTAGGCATCCTTAGAAATGTTCATCTGCCCCAGCAGAGCAGCGTGTTTCTTAGAAGCCTCCAAAATTTCCCCCATGCTTGATTTATCTTCCATTCATTAATCCATAATTTCACCACTCATTTCAGCTCAGTTAGAACTGGGCAAAGGGTTTGCAGAAAACTTTGTAAAATCAGATGCATTACTAAAGGTCTGGGGTTTTTTTCTCCTCCTAGCCTTTGTTAGTCGTCACCATTCGTGTCACAGGGTCTGTTTAGAGCTTTTGTCTTGCACAATAAATATGTTTTTATAGAAACCCTTTGTTGTTTGCTGATCTTTTTCTGCTGGATTTTACAATCTGATCAATTAGGAAGCATCAAAACGTTATTATCTTTACCTGACAATAATGTAAAACACCATAGGAGAGATCTGTCACATACTTCAGCAGTTCTAGTTTAGACACATTTTGTGGGACATTGAACCTGGCAGAATCCAAATGGTGTCTCAAGGCATCATTGACTTTTTGTTGCAATTAGAAAGGAAATTTGTTCTTGACTACTGAACACTTCCACCTACATCAGAAATGAGCTGTCAGGAGTAGCGCTCATAATGAGTGTTTAGAAAAATGCAGTTGTCTAGTGGTCAGAGCAGAGGGCTAACAAAACAGAGCTGCTGACTGAACTGATGGAAACATATCCCCAATCTCCTCCTGCATGCATCCTGCGGCTGAATCAATAATACAGGAAAGCTCTTTGAGATCCATTAAGAAGAGAGGCTAGACAAGGTGAAAGGAAAGTGGGATGTTCCCATGGAGCTGTGACATTACATACCTGTGAATTTTACTTGTATCAGCATCAAAGTTTAGCAGTTACACATGAATTATGTTTGCTCCTTTCAAATCAACTATGTTTCAGCAGAGGAGCCACTGTTTTGTTTGCTTGCAAGTTTCTTTTGTTGAGGGAATAAGAAATACAGGATAGCTTACACAGTGAAGGGTTAGTAGTATTCATGAGGTATATAATTTTATAATATATATAACATATAAAACATGTTTTCATATTCTATATATCACATAGATAGTATGTAATGTAGAATATGTAATACATTTATATTAAACTCAATAATTAGTATTGATTATTTCTAATTAGACTATTAGTATTTTAAGATTCCTGGGGCAAATTATGCCAGGGAATTTCAAGCACCACCCTTGAGCAGTAAAAAAAAAAGTAGGAAAAATGATTCTAATTCAATGCGCATTGTTACCTGCATGCATGTAATCGCATTTTACATTGAAAGAATTTTGAAATCTGAAAGGATTGTTCAATAAACAACAAACTATGAATTTTCCCCTGCGTGTTAAGCATCCAAACATGAGCAGACTCTCAAATAACAAACAGGCCTGTCACATAATTAAACTGTCTAGCATAAGAGCATAGCTTGTCAAGATTAATTTTCAGTCTGCAAAAACATAAGTAATAAATTTCCTATTCATCGCTGACAAAAGATTAACCATTTAGGGTATTTGAAAAATGCATTTACATTTCAAGTGTACTTCTAAGAAAATTTTAAAACCTGTCTGGAACAATGACATAACATACAGTTATTCTTTGTTATGTTCTGTGAGATTACTGTCTTGACTCTGGGTGATTATGAAGTGATCCTAAAGCATGCGATGAAATGAAGCGGTGCCAAGACAGTCCTACATAGATCGTCGTAAACACAGCTATGCAACAGACCTGAGCTAGCTGGAATAGAAACATAAAACATTGCTCTGGAGTCCTTTGGTAATGGCTGTCAACCGCTCTGCTGCAGTGGTGATATGAGTTACATTCAGTTTAGTGGCCAGCAGAGATCTGGGCCTTTGCTTCACAGAAGCACCATCGCAATTTACTCTTCTGCTGGCAGCATCAGCTCAGAGCAACAAGAAATGAGGCTGAGCAGATCCCAAAGCACACTGGACCAAACCCAGAATTCTCTGTGGAGCAGTATAACAGTAAAATAATAGATTTATTAACCAAGTGAAAGAGCAGACATTGCACGCACCTGTGGTTCAGCCAGAACTCCTTCCTCCAGCTGAGCTTACACAATCAAGGAAGCCACTAACTTCTCCAGGTCCTTAGTTCACATCCAGTTTAGGCTGACTGACACTGAAATGCACCATCCCCGAAAGCTGGACAGTGGGCAGGCATGTCCCAGAAACACTCTTCCTCGCTCACTTGGGACTTACAGGTAGGGATCACTCCCTTCTAGTGAAACAATGAAATGCCTCCAGCCTGACGGTCTGTTTTCAATTTCCCCATGTCTCTTTCACCTCATCCCTCCTTGCCTTTCTGCAGAGCATACTATTGCAACACCCACTGTCCAAAAGTACTTAAGCACATCCTCTCCCTTTTCTTCCCTTAAAATGTATGATGAAAAAGTTCTTACAAATAACCACACCTTAGGCAGCCTCAAGCTGCTCTGCAATGTAAGGAAGCAGATGCGAGTTTCAGATTGGAAAGGGATATGGTTCCAGCAGGGCTTTACTAGGAAAGCTGCTGCCCTTCTGTAGTATTCTGGCATGCCTCATCCCCATCTCCTAATGAGTGAGCAGAAGCACAGCACTTCCCCTTTCCTCCTTCCTTATTTTTCTGTCCCTGCAGGATAAAGCTCCTTGAGAGAAGCCCTTAGAGACTAAAGGAGAAACTAGGCTGGGAGGAGACAGGCAAAATGAGGAAGAGAAGGGAAAGAAATGGGTTTGTGTGCACACATGTATGTGTTTCATCCCTGTTTTGGGTAGGAAAGCAGGAGTTAGGAAGAAGTAGGAGAGGAAGTCAGCTGATGAATAGCTCCAGGCCAAAGAGAGAATACCTGGCAGGGCTGCTGTGTACAGCAATGTACATTTAAATGTACTTTTTAAAATTAACACATCTGGATAGGGGTATCTGTCCCAGAGCAACCAACGATGGAAGAACAAGTAACAATAATTTTCCATTCCAATGGCCAGTGCTATAATTAGGTAGTAATGTTAGCAATACAGTCCACTTTCAGGTGAAATGGGAAAGTCATGAATGCTGCCTGACAGCTAGAGAAAAAATAAAATCACTGTTAATTCACTTATGGGGACTATTTCTGCAGTCAGGGAGACATTTCTTTAGTAGTGAAAATTCAGCAACTCCAAAGAATTATCACGGAACTAAGGAAAGGGCTTCAAGTTGAGCTCTCAAAAACTGTGTTACATGGAGGGCCAGACAGCTGGTCCCTGCTCACACCTTTGATGACCTGAGCAGCAGGCGTGGACTGCAAACTCCACTCCAAGCCACAGAATCAAAGGTGGCGAAGGGGAAGCACACCGGCCACTGTGAGAAAACCTGTATGGCATTGCTTGTAACACATCTGTTTCATGGTACAAGAGGGTAAGTTTGTCTTAGAAAAACACTGCGTTCATTCATAAGAGGAAGAGCAACACTGGAAAAGCAATACTAGACTTATGCAGCACATGACTGGAATGCACAGGATGGGATCCTAATTAATGTTTTTATTTTAAATAGCTCAATTCTAACTCTTCATTCAGATTCAGAATTAAATGAAGATTCAGAATTGCAATATAGACTAAAAAAATACAAATGCAAAAAATCTAAACATTGTCCTCTCTCAAAGATGAGAGGAAATGGCCTCAGGTTGTGCCAGGGAAGGTTTAGATTGGATTTTAGGAAAAATTTCTGCACCAAAAGGGTTGTCAAACATTGGAACAGGCTGCCCAGGGAGGTGGTTGAATACTTGGAGGTGACGTCCCTAAATGACGTGTAGATATGGCACTTGGGGACATGGTTTAGTGTTGGACTTGGCAGTGCTGCGGTAACAGTTGGACTTTATGAAGTTAAAAGTCTTTCATAACCTAAATGATTCTATGATTCTGTATGTACCTATGGTCTGGGGTACAAATGGAGATGGAGATGTTGATGCAGGCTGTGACCAGGGAAAATATTTTGGATCCCACAAAGAAGTCCCCAGATTGGTTTCATTAAATAAATAAATAAATAAACCTCAACCAAACAATCAAATAAAAAACAAACCAAAGTCTCCAGAATTTTAGATGCAGCCCTATTTTTAGTATTTCACAATGGTAGTTACTGGAGGTTCCTTTCACTATTTCTAAGCCTATTACAGCATTACCCAGTGATGTAAATTTTTCTGTTTGCATTATAAAGAGAGCATAACGAAAAAGTTTTGGAATCCACTCTGGAACTAGATCCTTTAAACTAGGTATTGAGGACTTGTACGTACCCTGGTAGTTCTCATTAAGTTATAATAAATTATATAACCGTATCTTTCTTTTTCCAGTTATATTTCTGCACTTTAAATTATTAAAATCTACCTGAAGACAATAGTAACTGAACACACTTTTGGAACTGCCTGGTGGAAATGGCAATGCATGTTTTAATATGGCAAGTGGATTCAATCTGTGAGTACGGTTCGTTGTCATTCACAGCAGGGTAAAGTCCATCTTCAGAGGAGCACAGTGGGCTTCATTGTATCAGATTCAAATGTTGTTCTGCAGCTCTCTGACATCGTGGGATTTATAAACCAATTACTGGGTTTCTTCTGCAAAGAGGTGTGCTGGCATCCAGGCAACATGTGTGAGAGATCCATGAGGCATCTGCCTTCAAGTGGCACTAACAGCAGTAATTCAGGCACAAGTCATTCCATCTGTCCCACTCCTCCAGGGCTTGTGTAGGTGGCTCCCAGCCCCAAAATAATGAAGCATCAGCAGCAAGGCCAAAGGATTTGCACTACTACACCTTCCCAGGCGTTTGTGCTGCTGAGAAAGCCTCTGCTCACATGGTGACTTATCTGATTATTGAAGTGAACATATGTAAAGATTAGGTCTGTGGTAAGTTCTACAAACATAGATATTTTCGCCCCTCAACTTGGAAGCCCTGTCTTTTAACAGAGTTAACAAAGAACTGCAGGAACCTCCAGAGGGCAATCCAGAGTATATAATTAGATGGCAGTTGAACTCCTGTTTTGGGAGGGCTGGATTTTACTCTGAAGTTGCTCACCTCTTCCTCCATGGACTGGTTAGGAAGACTGGAGAGATGACAGTGACTGGCGTTCCTGGGATACATGCTGATTGCAAGTCTTTGTGGGCAGTAAGGCAGCAGGCTGCCAGCACTCCCCAGCTCCTCCGCACAGAAGTATCCCGTGCCATAAGGTTTTCCATCATTAGCTTAGAGCCCAAGATACCTGACATTAGGCTGTGCAAACACACCCTTTGAACCTTTGCCTCTCCTTGGTCAACTCTGCTCAGCTGGAAAGAGAAATCAGCACATCTGCCAACAGAACTGCAACAGTGGAGGGCAACAGTTTTTGATCAGCTCAGAGCTACATACACAGTTTCATTTGGATATTAAGGGTATTTCTGAATCTAGATTAAACTGTCTTATAAGAGAA